CGATACTTTCCCCCCACCCACTACTCTTCACCCCTTCTAACCACACACATCTCTCACCCTTCCCCCCTAACATCGCTCTCCTTCTGTTCTCATCTCTTCTGCTTTCTTCTCTTCTCTTCTCCTGCTCTTCTCTTCTCTTTTCCTGCTCTCCTCTCCTCTCCTCTCCACGCCCCTCTCGCCGCTTTTCACTTCTCTTCGCCATTCTTCTCTTCTCTTCTCTTCTCTTCTCTTCTCTTCTCTTCTCTTCTCTTCTCTTCGACTTGTTTCTCGTCCCTCAGTTTGCCTCAGCGGTCGTTCTCCCGCATTGCTGCCACCCATTGCACGGAAAAGCATGGGGTGAGATGCTGTAGGACCGTAACACCGGGAGACGAGCAAGGGGTCGAAGGTTTGGAAACGAAAATAAGGTGATATTCTCATTGTCTCCACTTTTTCGATCTTTCAAATATTGGCTGAGATGAAAAACGCACCTAGAAAATCTATAGAGATATAGGATTTAATACATGACTCTGTCATTGTTTTTTCCGCTGGTTTATGGTAATTGAAAGTTGTTTCATTTGCAAGGACTGGTTCAATCACCATTTTTGTCACGAATAAATTCCTTTCTCATCGATCTCTTCCGCTCGGTATATTTGCTTTCCACGAGTCCGCTGGTCTGGAAAACTTGCGTCTTCGCAGTAGATACAAAACATGGTATTTACTCTCCTTCTTTGACGATGATTAATTGCAGAAATTTCACGTGACACTCTGCTGTTTCGTTGTAAATTGCCTCGCTGGTAATTTGGAGATTTATTGACAAAATTAAACTGAAAAAAATCCATTTCGGCTTTAAGAAATTTAACGGTATAACTCTACCACAGTAACGTCCTCTAATTCCAACGGGGGAATTTTTAACTTTTTTAATTTCCTCAAAAATTCCATATAAAAATGAAGAATTAAATCCCCGCTGGAGGTATTTAGAAGCACCCATCGTTCATACAGCCCTGCGGTCATGTGACGAAAACACGACGTGACGTCACACGCGCAGCAGCAGCCAGCTGCCAGTCCAACATGGTTGACCTGTGAGCAGTCGTTAATATGATATCTTCGATCGTCTCGCGAGTTGTCATGTGAGTATTTAAATTCTCAGTTAACCGAGAGCAGAAGAAACAGTGCGAAGAAAAGGTCAGCTGCGGCTGGATTCTCGCCATCGTTAACCCAGGGTTGTTCGATTCTATTTGTCAGTTTACCGTTGAATTTATTTTTACCTCTCTCCCCCGTACACGATTCAACTTGAAACAATTTTTACTCGCTCTATTAAAAACGAAATAGTGCAATCGTCGATACGTTTGATAGTATGAATACGTTTTTGTTTCAACCCTCTTTCTAACAAAGAAAAAGCGCAAATGGTGACTCGTTCGCGTAGTCATGTAACGCGAATCGGATCAGAGGTGCAGTGTTAATAGTGAAAAGTTAAACGATCATTAAAAAAAAACCCTATTCTGAATGTGAAGAAATTATGTCATCGCGTCGTCGCACCGCGACTCGAAGAAAGATTTCCATGTTTGGTTATGTGTTCTACGACGCTGCCTAACCGATCGTTATTGCATTCGAATATTTGTAACGGTTTTTCGAATGAAGTATCGATTTATTAGTGAGACTAATCGGTGAAGGTTACTTCTGTGTGTCAATGCAATTTCGAAAAACCTTGGTCAACAAAGGTAAGAGGAAATATCTTTAGTACATCTCCATATTAGGTGAACGATAAACAAGGATTTTGCGCCTTTAACGAGGACACGTAGCTTTGCGTTGTAAGTGGAGCTTTAGTGCAGAAGGAATCGTTTTAAATGGCTGCATTTCTGCATAAGACATTAATATAATAGCAAGGATCGCATTATACGTCCAGTGAAAGTGTGCATATTTTTCGCGTAATATCTACATTCGTTTACTTGCGGACGTATACAATATGAACCGAACCTAACCTAACCTAGCCGAGTTTCGAGTCCCAACAGCAGGCGCCTGCCCCACCATTGCGGACGTACACTCGTGTTACGACACCTTGCGCATAAACCGTGACTTTTACTGGTTAGTTTAGAATCTGTAGTGTCGAATCTAAGTCTAAAAATTCATCCAGAAATTCTACATAAACATCTCTGTAATTAAACGTCATTTCAATTTTGTCTATGGCTCACATGATTATTCTTTACTTGAAATTTTGCAAATATTTCGATAAATCATGAATTACAATATTATACAGATAGCCCACATTGAATATTAACATTTGTACCGAGTAAATATACGCAACAAGTAAAGAAAAATTTTGAAAATACGAAACAAGTAAATAAAAATTGTATTTTGCAAAAATTTAATCGGCCCAAGTAAAAATGCCCTAGATCATTGTCTATGCTCGCCGAACGGCACAATAGAACTTGTTCGAGCACGTTTGGACATGTTCCATGGTCTGGATTGCAGCTCGATCTTTATTCTTCGTACCCATTTTCTACGCATGGCGTACCGAACGTTCAAAAATAGCCAGATGTACTCGAAGGAGGACAAAATGCGTTCCCTTAGTATACGAACAGTGGGAATCGTAGCGTGAGCTCTTGTTTTCCCAATGACCGTTGCAGTCAGCTGACCGAATACGCGTATCGCTGCGTCACAAAGAGATACCAATATCGACATATTTATTTTATCTACTGAGAATTGTTCTTCATTAGTTAGTTCTTGATTGCTCCAAGGACACACTCTTGATTTTCCGAAAAATTGTTTACACGGTTTCTCGTGATATTCATTTTTTACTGAATAGAGAAGACAAAGAAATCGATCCAATGAAAATGAAACAGCGGTAAAATATTTTAGACAAAGATAGGTGGCCTAGATTCAAGTAGGCTTAGAAGTAGACTTAAAAACATGGTCTAATTTCAGGAATTTTGCTTTATCTTTTTCAATAGATGAAAATTAAACGAAAATCTTTGTCCATTGAAAATTTTCGAATTTATATCGAACTAGGAACAAATTGTAGCGTTAACTAGAGCACTTTCGCACGCCTTATTGGAGAGGCAGTCATCAAAGACAAGCGTCTGGTTGAGCATCAGCTGATTGGGAAGCTACGTCACAATGATGGGGAGAGTCGTTCCAGCGTGGCGTCGTGCGTTCTCTCGTTAGGAAGCACGTTTCGTCGACGTCGTTGACAAACTTACACCGGCGATAACACGCGCGTGCACACGTTGGCCGACGATGTGACTCATGCTCGTCGCGCTTGACAATAAACTGGAACGAGCTGGAGAAACGTTGAGCTCGGATCGAGCACAAGGCGAGCCTCTTGAAATTCGCCGATCCGACCGGTTATTCCTTCAAGGATCCTTCGATAACGAGACATTGGGAATTGTCTATCAAAAAAAGAAAAAGAATTAGGAGAAATCTGGAATATTTTTTCAAGTTTTACAAGCGAATTACTTGAACTGGTAACGAGACGGATACAAAGGTTTTCTTGCAAAGAGAAAGGCTACGTGGTGGTGGTGGTGGTCTAAGTCACGAAAAAGATTCGGTAAAAGGGAGGCTGACATCGAGCGTAATTGCAAAATACGACCTTGTTCTTTTGC